CCCTGGCAAGAAACCGGTGAAGGGTTCACCGGCCAGCCACAGATTTAATGGAAGCAAACGTAAATATCCAGGCTGTTTTTCCACATTACTGATGTCACGGAGCCAGCTGGACTGAGTACAGCACTGGTCTCCCCCGGCACCGTGGGTTTTAGCTTTAGCAGAAGTTCCAGTGTGCCCACGCTGTTACTGAGCTCAGTGGCACTGTCAGTAGTACGTCTTTGCTTGGCAGCACCTTGCTGTGCGACAGCAACCAGGAGCCCTGGTTACAGTGGTGCCGCCGAGCCTTTACCATGAGATATAAATGATTACCAGCCTGTTTGGAAATGGTTTCTGACACTGGCCCACTGCTGACTCCTTTGAGTATCAGCTCACACTTGAAAGTCAAAAATTCTGCCCCAAATAAATTAAATTCTCATACTGAATTACCATACAAAATATTTACTCATTGTTTCGCAATTTGAGAATGCTGTATTAAGTCTATTATAGAAAATTAATACATTCTTATTCTATTTATCCTGAGATTCCAAACTTGAAAGGAAACTGCTGTGTTTCCTACCTTCTGTGTAGAGGAATGGCAAACCCCTGTTGTGTTGGTAGGACAAAAGCTCTAGGTCAGTGTGTGTGTGCTTACAATGAGACGTGCACGTGCATAATACTTCCTGACAAACTTGGAATTCTTGTACAATTACTCTTCTTGTTGCATTCTAAAATCTGGGTTTGCAAATACATTCCTCAAACAGCTGAACTTTTGAACCAAGGTCGTTTTTGAAATGTTACAGCAGTTAAGCCTACCTGCTATCTTTTATCAACCAAAAATACCAAGATGACTCTTACAATTCTTCAGGGCTTAGTACAATCAGAGGTGTGCATTGTTAATAAAAATACTACTAATTTTGAAGCATTTTTCGTGGCCAAATTCCATTATGTATCCCACCGTCCTTCCTTTCACATCTGTGTCCACAGGCAACAAAGGCTAAAACAGTTTCCTTTTTGGCTTGTGTCTTGCAGATGGAAATGAATCTGGAGGCTCAGTGGTTTTGTCTTGTGAGAAACAGTGACACACAGTCCACTTCCTTAGCTATTTCTTAGTAACTTAAATTTAAAAGCAATATCCTGTTATTAAAACTCAACTAGTCTGTCGTATTTGTAGGTTATAATGAAGTGTGGGGGGAACCTCAGGCGGGAAGGTCTCTCCTGAAAGTTGTGACTACAAAAATAATAAACATCTTATTCTGAGTAACTAGTACAGTTTCTTATCTGGATGCTTTCTTTATGTGAAACTGTTAAGGATGTCTCTATAATCCGTGAAAGCCTGTTTAGTTACCACTTCATTTTACCATATGCTAGTTTTTGAAAGGCATATTTCAAACATGTCTAGGTCATGCAATTTATGAAAGGGATAATAGGGTGTTTCTTTCAAAAGAATCCATTTCCAGCATGGAATGTCAGGCTAGGTATGACTTCATGATGCTTCCACAAAGTTAAAATAATGGGAGAATATCACCATTCTTGTATTTCAGTTGAACAAAGCTGAGAGCATCCACTTTTCCAAAATACTCTCTTATCCCCTCCTAAGCCTTTCCCAGACTAACAGGTGTTTCACTGCTTTAGTCAGTTACTGAATACTAGTATTTTCAATAATGCAGATATAAATTCAGAAGAGCAAGGACAAAAATTTCTGAAGACTCAAATCTTTTTCCACTGGTGATGTGATGGATAGATGATTATACTGTCTAGCTTTGTAGAATTTTTGTGTATATATATTTAGAGAAATTAAAAGCAAGCCTCTAGCCTGCAGGGATTTAGGTCATACTTTACTATGGAGAGAATGAGTTCTGTTACATCTTTTAGTCACATCCCTATAGCAAAATAAACAAAGCTTAATTCCAGAAGTTTACGTAGCTCCTAGCATTCTGGTTACGTTGAGCTTGATAACCAGTAACGCCTTTAACATTAGACTTCAATGTTCTTCTTTTCTGTTGTGTAGCTTATTGTGGGGTAAAATGTGTGTGTTTAGGCGGGGTGAGTTCTTCAAGACTGTCTGTGTTCATACTGCTGCCTACCTCTGCTTTCTGTTGGAGTCTGTATGCGACTTTGAGCCAGGAAAATTAAAACTAAAGGAGCCCCAGCAGCGATCGTGCTACTGTTGTTGGATGTTTTGCAGTAAAACTAAAAAAGAGGAAAGTGGAGGGGGAGGTACGTAGTGCAGTGAAGGTAACGGAGGTCTGTATGAAAGCTTATGCCAGAACTGTACTTCTGGGTATCATGGAAGAATGAATGCGTACTTCAATTATGTGAAACCAATGCTGGGAAGTTCTAAAGAGCTGTTTTGTTTTTAGGTCACATTGGAATGCTTCAAGCTACTCAAATGACTCAAGAAGTTACGATCAGAGATTTGGAATCAGAAAAGTCTAGGTTAAAAGAAAAACTATCCCAACTGGAAGAGGAAAGAAACTTACTACAAAGCAAAACACAAAGTCTGGATGAGCGACAAAGGCAGCAAATTCTGGCCTTGGAGAAGGTTAAACAGTTTATTGGCTTTAGTTGAATAAAACCAAAAGACTTAGAATTCTCAGAAAAAATACTTGATCATGTTTTAATTTTTGTTTGATGTGACAGGACTAGGACTAGGGTAGTATATTTCGAGTATGTCTCATGGAGCAACATACAATGACTTAACGCAGAGTGTAAAGTGAGAGAAGAGGGAAGTCAGATTAGATGGTGCTCAGACTGCTTTGGATATCTTTTAACAATTTCATTTTATTTAAGACCTTGTGTGTAGCTGCTTAGTGTCTCAGTAAGGAAAGAGGTGAAATGGTTCAAGAACGATTTTTATTGTTCTCTGAACCCCATTCTCTGAAAATGTGCTGAACATGTTTGAAAATACTGAACTGAAATTTTCTGTAGGTTTGGTACCCAATTGCTGTTTCCTCAGATTAAGTAGAGCAAAAAGAAAGATTTTAATATGGCTATATTGCTTTGCATGGATATATTGAAACTACCTTTTTGGTTATTGTTTAGTCAGTGCTTAGTGTTTGCTCAGTTTGTTTTGTATGGAAGTTAATTTTTGTGGATTTATGTCACTGGTAATGATTTTGGGTTTTTTCCTCCACTGTTCAGATTTTACGATCTAATAGAAATAATTTTATTTTTCTCTGTCTCCTACAGAAAATAAACGAAGCAAGGGAGACACAACGTGAATATTATGAGAAGGAGCTGGTAAAATTACAAGCAAGATTGGAAGGAGAGGCTGCACAGTTAAAGGAGGCTCATTCCAAGACCTTGGAAGAATTGGCATGGAAACACCACACTGCGATTGAGGCTGCACACAGTAATGCTAATAAGGAGAAGAAAAAACTGCAGCTGGTAGGTTTGTGTTTTCTTAGTCATCAGAGGTATTACAAAACACAAATGCTGGAGTTTGAACCTTGTACCGCATGCTCCCGTGGTATGGCAGGTTTTGTTTGGGGTTAATCGGCGTGCTGTCTCCTCTGTCAGACCTGTGTCACTATGCCCATGCGGCGGTGTTTGAGTAATTCAAGGAAGAAATAGTCTGTCTCAAATACAGAGAAGGTTTGAATTTACTAGAAGAAGAGCATGGTACAAGGAGCCTTGGGATGGGGAACATGAGGATTTATCAGGACTGGAAGGCTGGAAAAGGCACCTGGGGTTTGAAAATCTTTGGAACAAATGGAGCAGAAAAGAATTCTGAAGAGTGAGAATAGAACTCAAGAAATGCCTTAAATACATCACTCTGCTTCAGTTCTTCCGTGTATAGAATGAGCTGTAAAAACGGCATCAGTTCGTCGAAGGGTTATGCAAATAGAGCTGCTAATGATTTTGCAGTGCTGCACAGCTGTACCGGCAGTATCATAAGAGGTCGGATTACTTGGTTAGCGGAACAGGGTCTGAATAGCACTAGGGAAACTTGGCAGACAGCAGGTTTCACAGGGAAAATGGGGAAGTCTGATTTCACAGGCGTCCTCTGTCCCTCATGGTGGTTGACCTGGGCCCGGTGAAGAAAACAGGCACTTGCTAAGTTACGTTGTGCAGCGTGTTATTGGAAGCGTATCCCTTCTTTTGTCACTGTGTCCAACTGCTACCACCAACAAAGAGGCTGTGCAAGCAGTTTATACACAGCGTATTGCCTACAGCACGCCCTAATGGCATGCTGGAACTAAGGAGCTGCTGGGCTCCGTGTGCGTACCACCCCCAGCAAAATACTTGAGGAGTCTCTGGGTTCGGATGAGGAAGGGTTGGCCTCTGTTGCTTCAGGCAATGAGCTGGATCACACTAAGTTGCTGTCTTCCAGCTCCCTGGTTTTCCTTAGTTTCATACCTTTTTATGACAGTCTTTTTCCTCGTGGATTCTTGAGTGCTTAACTCCCCCTGTCTCAGCAGTCTTCCCAAGCCTGCAGTTGTACCTCGTGTTCCGTGCATGGCTCTGCTCTGGGTATTTTTATAGTGGTTTCCGAGATACTGATTTCTCAGAAATCTGAGCCCAGGGCTAAACAGAGGCACTGAATCGATGCTAAGCCTTGTGTTAGAGCTGAACCCCTTGGAGGGAGTTAATGAAGGAGCCTCTACCTGCATAGAAAACCTTGAAATCCTATATTACCTGGCTCTGCCACAACTTACTTGGCAACCTGAATTTTCTTCAAGCCCACAACTTGGCAACCTGAATTTTCTTCAAGAATACTTTCTAGTATAATAAATTGCATAGTATATTCCACTGAGATATATTATAAAGCTTTTATTACATGACAGAAGTTGTTCTTCTGAAAATATATTCTGAATATTAATAAAGCTGAAGCATAAATTTATAGTTTTCCATAAAAAAAAGAAGCAAGGTTCTAACACATACACATACAACATAGGCTCATGTAAGAGAAATACAATTCATCCAACAAAGTTGCTTTCAGAATCTGGCTTATTACTCCACAGAGAGTGAATGAAAACACAGGTGTTATTTGAGTCTTTCCATATAGTTGAACTTGAAGACTTAATTGTGTTATTTCTTTTGGTTCTACGTAGATGTTATAGATACGGTGTGGGGCTTTTTTCATTTATTGTAACAGTCTGAAAAAATTCCCAAAGCTCAGTCTGATTTTAAGCTTTACTGTTTTCTGTGGGGATTATGTGTAGGAGAGAGAGGGGTAAATAAGTACATTATCAGTGTAATTCTATAAAAAGTGAATATTTCTGGATTCTGTCAATTCAGGTTGAAAGACTACGAAAGTAGATACAGTTTTATTGATTTTGATAATAAAGTGCACAGTGAAACTAGTAAATGAGAAAAAGTCCTCTTTTTTATTTTGTGATTAATCAAGCCTGTTAGATTAGAAAATGGTTTTTATTTTGTGATGAATCAAGCCTGTTAGATTAGAAAATGAACTGATAAAATAAAGCATCCATTGTAACACTCTAAAGGAAAAACAATTTATGGCTAAGATCAGGAATATTTCTGCCAGGAATAATAATTTTGATGTGGCGCACCTGTACTTTGTGATGACAGTATGGCAAGTATTTAACGTTTCTTCCATCCTTCCTATTTCTGAAGGAGCTGGAGCAGCACTTTGAGAAGGAGAAACTGCATTTGGAGGATGATAAGAATCAGCTCCGACAGGAGTTGGAAAACCTGAAGGAAGAGCTGACAACGAAACTGACTTCTGCCAACCAGGAGGCAAGGGGTTAACTCGCTTGTATTGGCTCACAAGTGCTGTCTGTGCCTGTGCACCCGACCACACTTCCTCAGCACTGATCTGGTGCTTGAGTCCAGGACAGAGCTAGGACTGCCCTGTTCAGCCTGCTTAGTGCCTTGTTTCCGTTTCGGGTGGGGTATTCTTCAAACGTGACAAGTTACCTGACTGCTGCTGAGTACTGGTTTTATTGTCCTTCACAGAAGGAACAAAGCAAAAGAGATTGAGCTACAAAACAGTTGACATAGACAGCCTTTCTGGGTTTAACTCTGCTTATTTTCTCATTCAGTACACAGATCTCAACGCAAAATATGTCAGGAGACAGAGGGAAAATTAACTGTGTTTAAACCCCGATTTGTTTACAATTAACATACTGTAAATTCTGATCAGCTTTCTGACCTGCAGGTGATCTCCATATATTTCCTTCAAAAGATGACAAGAAATATTTATAGTGAGACCCAAATTATTTGCAGTGTTTTGACATATGCAATCAGCATTAAATATGTCATATCTCAATACAGCTTTTAATTTTTTTGAGTTTGAAATGGCCACCTTTTCATAATATTTTAAAACCAGAAATATATTCTTACTGATATTAAAAACATCGATCCATTCTTGTCTGGAACCGAGCCTTGTTTCAAGAAAATAATTCAGCAGCTTCATTGTTCAACAGGCCATATATATATGGCACACATCTTCAGTGTGTGCTTTGAGACAGACTTAAGCATGAATTTAAGTACTCCCTTTGCAGTGGTACTTTGCATTACCATTTTTTATACTGTAGGAGTTCTGGAGATGGAAGGTGTTTGTCCAGTTCTGATGGTTTGCAACTTGCACAAATGATAAACTTGCTTTAGAAGTTTAGAAGAATTAAAAACTGCTTGTTCTAAGTAATGGGAAAGATTGCCATATCCTTCAGAAGAAAGATACTAAATTATTATTATTATTAATATATCCTTTTATCTATGTACACTGCTGTATTAATATACATGTTAAGGCATTAAATTATTATATATTAAGGTATATATTCTTAAAGTATACATTAATATATTCAGCATGCCACTATGTACTTTGAGAGTAGTACCTAGCAGGTGTCTACGTGTGTATACCCCCCAGGTAATATACACTGCCAGAGTAGTTGAACCCACCATCTCTAGAGCTCAGCAGGAGTGCTGATCAGTCAGTGGTGAGTACCTGTTGACCAGGAGACCGTACTTCCCTCTGATAGTTGTGAGTGCCTTTGCCAGTACATCAGACCGTGGAGGAGGTGTAAATTGAAGCTGGAACTGCTCTTGCTCTCTTAAGAGTATGCCTACTTACATTCAGATTAATGAAAATGTGATGTATTTGTCATATATGTTAAGATACTCATACATGGGTTTATTTTTTCCTTTCAAAACTACAGAAAGTTTTCTTATTTCTTTTTAGCTTTAACTTCCCTGTTCTATGATAACTTTCCCTGTTGCTGGATTAGACCTGAGAAGACTATTGTCGATCTATTGCCATTCAGTGCTGTAGGTTTTAATTCAGTTATTCATTATCAACTTCTCTTGGATTTGTGAGTAATTAACTTGCTCCTTCTTTGAAAGAAATCACTTTCAGTTATTTAAGAATGAATTCTCGTCATCTTACTGCTGTCAAGTTCAGGCTTGGAAAATTCATCAGCATGCCCAATTAAGAAAACAGAGGCATAGCTAAGGAATAGATAGCTCTAATGTAAACTAAAATAGGGAATTGGGGCCAGGTGCTGTTTAATTAATTATATATGTTCTTATGCCAGGATAAATGAAATACAGTGTGTTTTGCATATTGAGAGAATAAGAGTAATCAGACAGGCAATAAATTTGGGGTGGTCTTTAAATCCACTCCATGTAGTGCAGATGCAATATGTTTTATTGTATTAGTATGTTTGCATTGAGACAAGGGCTTTACTTGCAACCACAGCTTACTCTTAGATCTCTATTGACAACTGAGAAGTTTCTCAATGTCTTCACTGATCTGGAAGAAACTTGCCTGTGAAATGTCTGGCACATCTTTAGCTTAGCTCCCACTGCTGCTTCCTTTGTCGTTTGTTTTGGTTTAAGTTACAGACTTTGTTTAACAGTAGGCGTATTTTTATCACTTTCTGCGGATGTTAGCTTAGTTCTAACTTCCCTGCTGAGAAAGCTGGTTCTGAGCCTATGCCATCCTCTTTTCTTTTTGACAGCCTTTTTGATAACAGTTATCTTTGCTAAAGGATGAGGAAGATTCAAACCTCATTAGGCCTGTTCCTCGTACCAAGCTATTTAAGAACAGTTTGATCTTAAATACTTGCCAGAGGTTTTTTGAGAATTCTGGTTAAGTCCACGTGTGACTTTTTCACACGTGTCTCAGGCTGAGGCTGGCTGTTTACTCCATAGATTTGCTTCCTTTCACTGTAGACCAGCCAAGACCTTTTAGAAAAGCTCTTCGTTGGTGTCACTTGGCAGTGATTTACAGGCTGACCATCTCTATGCAAAGGACTTCCGATGGTATTACTAGAGATCATTTTATACAGCCTCCAGCATTGCTTTGTCATCAGCAGAATTGACCTAAGTCCTCTGAGTGGCATTCCTAAAAATCCTTTACACCTGCAGGACTGCTGTTCATGTTTTATGCCAGCGGCGTGCTACTACCAGATACATAGACAGTGGTGCACTTCAAGTCTTGTGGGCGGTTTTTTCTGGGGGGATTCTCTTTCGGGTAGTATTGCTTCATAGGGAATGATGAGTTGTTCACCTACAGTGCAAAGGAGCACGTAGAGAAGTGCTCAAGATTACGTTAGTTGTTCTGAGATCTGTCTTGTCAAAGACATTTGGGATTCCTTGCTGAGAGGAACTGAGGAGTCTTGCTTTTTAAACAACTCCATGTGTTGCATGCAGGGGGAGAGAGCTGGGAGGGCGGGGTGTGTGAGGGTGTGTGTATGTTGCCAACAGTACTTGCACAGTTATGCCAACAAGAGGAAATTTAGTTGTAACTGATACCTTTTTGTACCTGCAAGCCAGAGGTTAGTCTTTTCTTGAGGCATCTGCCCCTTTGTGAATGAATTCATCTCAACGTACAAAGGCAGTAGTATAGACGGTTACGTCTGCAAAAACTTTTTCCCATTAGCTGCTCTTCTGTGGTCCCCACTGCCTCCCATTATTCTGGTTTTCCAGCCTACTTAGTTAAAAGGTTTTTCCTTTTCTGTAGCTGGTGAACGGTGTTTAATCTCTGATATTCTAACTTGAATCAAAGGCATATAGTATCATTTTACAAATGGGGAGCTGAAGTACAAACTGGCAGAGAAAAGTGTAGTTATAGAGGAGTTAGGGAAGTAATCACATTATACGTGACAGATAACTAGACTGAGCTCTAAACGGGCTAATTTATGGACAGGTAGCAATCTGAAGACAGAAAAATGTGTACCACAAGTTAATTTATCCATTAGAAGAAACATATAACCTAGCACAGGTTAATTTACCCATTAGATTAGAGTTTATATATTCTGGAATAGTAGCTCTGATGATTTTAATTTGCATAAACACGCTTTCACACAGTAAAATAACAGGTAATTTCAGAACGTTTGTGTAACCTCTTTCCTTGAAAAATGCTTCAAGTGTAGGTTGGATATTTTGTTTTTCTTGTAAAAACCCTGTAATTGAATCTTAGCTTGATTTTATAAATATTACAGGAATTTGCTTTTTAATGCCGAGACATTAAGTGATCTTAAAGGAAAACAGGTTGTGCAAATAAAAATTTGTCTAGGCTGAAATTCGAAATCATTGGGAGAAAATAGCCCCAGGATGACTTGGCCGCCATCAGTAATAATTATGTAAATTACCTACATTTCTGTATTTATTTATTTATTTATTATGTCGTAGGTGTGTCGTCTGCAAGACCTAGTACGAAAAAGTGAACAAGGCCTTGGGACTGCAGAAGGACATATCTCCAGTCTTCAAGAAGCTCAGGAAATACTCCAGAAAGAACTAGAATTAACTAGAGCAAGGCTGCGGGAGACCACAGACTCGTTGTATAGTGTTGAGGTAACCATAGCGTTGGAGAATAAATCTGGAACTGTCAGTTAATCTGTCAATAGTTCATCACCTTTAATGCTAAGTAGAACTGTCCATTTCCACACACGCCCCCCCCCCAGTAAACAGTGTACATTTACATGAATGCAGCAGTATTTGAAGTAGAGCAGCAAATATTAAGAAAACAACTTAAAATCCCCTGAATCTGTTTTCATATAGGTGTGATTTTCTTAACAGATGCAGCCTGACACCGGCTATTGTTTTGTTTTGGTTTAAATTTCTTTCAGCTATGGTCATTACATATGCACCCTGTTACAGTTTATAACTTCCTCCGTATTTTTTGTAATTTCTCTAAGGTACTACATTCTCTGTTGGCCTGTTATAAAATTTAGATACTCACATGTAGCAGGTTACTGGCAATAACATTTATCTTAATAGATTTTAAAATATAAAAAATCCTGAAGAAAAATTCTCGCATGAAAAAGTTTTAATTTAAATTTAGATGGCCATGTTTGCTTCTCATGAGTGGAGCAAGCATTGCTGGAAAACATCCATGTAAGTATGAATTCTAGGTATTATCTAATACTTTCTTAGTATGGTAAAATTTGAACAGAAATTGCTATGAATTCTATACTACTTCTGTGTTCAGACTGAAAACCTGTTTCTACCAGGTTAGTCCAGTCAAGAAATAGAAGCTACATGAACTGTGTATCAAATCCAGATAGCACAAGCTTTGGAATTCAAATAATGAATATTTGCTGATTAAAAAAAGTCCAAAACATGCTTGACAAGAACCTAAGCAACCTGCTCTGGTTCTGCAGTTAGTCCTGCACTGAACAGGACTTGATAACCTTTTGAGGTTCTTTACAACATAAATGATTCTGTGATTCAATGTAACAGTATTTGAGAAGATTGATTCTGGAATGAATTACTGGAAAATTGCTTTTTACAGCTTTTTACAGAAATGCAGAATTCTGCTCCACAAGTAAGAAATATCAGCAGATGTGTAGGCGTTAATTGTGTGTAACTAGCAATTACACACTGAAAATGTTATAGTTCAAGTTTCATGAGCCAGTTGTACTTAGAGTTTTGTTATAAATGCATTCATTTAAGGTTTGAAATAGTTTTTTGCTGCTGATCAGTCTCTATTGTGAAGTTTGTGTTTGCAGGGAGAACTAGATCAGGAGAGGCAACAGCACGAGGCAATGATTGCTGCCATGAGAGAAGAGGAAAAGTTCAAAGTTGACAGAATGGCTCGTGACTTGGAAATAAAGTGGACAGAGAACCTTCGGCAAGTATTAATTATTTTATCTTTCATTCTTTAAATAAGAAATGAGGATGTATTGCATACAAATGTCATAGCAAATGAAGTGTGTAACAAAAGGTTTTTCCTTGCCTAAGCTTTTCCAGTTATTACTGAGTTCTTAATTCACTTCTTGCACAAGGTCCACTGCATTTTAGTTATTTGACCTTTGCTTTTAGACAGGAATGTAATAAGCTTCGTGAAGAGCTGCGGCTTCAGCACGAAGAGGACAAGAAGGCAGCCATGACTCAGCTGTTGCAACTGAAGGAACGTGAAAAAAATGCAGCGAGGGATGGATGGCAAAAAAAAGTTGAAGATCTTTTAGACCAGGTAACTATGGTCTCTCTGGGAATTGGAAGACCGTTACAGTTTAGTTGCTGGTGGTGGATTTCCAGTTATGTACATGAAATTGGTTGTGACACCTGTCTTTGAAACGGAATTTGTTAGCACAGTGTTTTTTCAACCTAATCGTTATCGAACTTTTTGAGTAATATATGAAGGTACCTTAACATTACATGAATATTCTTTATGCTAAATGTGAATAAAACATTTTACAGGTTTTTGGGGGAAGCAGGAGGGTGTTGACAGTCTCACCTCTTCACTATAGATTTTGGATTCTCTGTCTGCTTACCTATTCTACTGTAAATATTTACCAAGGCCTATTGTTTGGACTTAGGGGTCCCTTTTCTCTACTGTAACAACATTGTACAAGTCACTGAAAGGTCAAAATGTTCCTCGGTTTCTACAGCACATTTATTACAGCTATGTCTTCTCTTAAGTGATTGTTGAACATTATTTTGGGACAATTTTTTATAAATACTGAGTTTTAATTGCAACTTGTTTTCAGGAACTCAAGTTAGATAAGTCACAGAAAATACTTGCTTTGTACTTTTTCCAAACCATAAATGCTGTAGAACTGGTTTTATTGACTACGGTTTGAAAGAATAGCTGATAATGTAAAAATACGTTTTAAAGTAAGAGAAACAGATTTTGGAACTCTTTAAATGACTGATTTCAGCGTGTTATTGTGGGATGGCTTTTAATTTACTGTCTGATTTTAGAAGTCTAATATCTGAACATGCACTTGATTATCCAGCTTCTTACAGGAACACACAACAATGTATTTTGCTGACAGGGAAATTTAAACTTGTAAAACCTTGTGGCTTAGGCTCTTAAAAGCTGGAGGTTTTTCAAAGTTCTTGGTCTGCTACTTTTTACAATGTGGATGCAATAAGACTTAGACCCATTTGATTTTTAATTTCTTCTACTGCCTTTACCCAAGCTTCATTTACTCTCTTTGCTTCTACCTATAAATAGCTTTTTCTCTAGGAAAGGGAAATTTGAAAGTGATTTGTTAAACTTTCTGTGATTTTAGCACACTTTTAAATACTTCACTTACCTCTACCTTTTAAAAATACTGTAATAAATCTAACCTACAGTTTTCTGAATGAGAAATTTGTATGTTGCAAATGAACAAATTTGTTTTGCATATGGAAGAAAATTTGGAATCAGGAAGCTAACTGTGATAATGAGAATTTTACTAGAGAATTTGGAGACACGGGAAATTGTCTGCATATAGAAAATGGTTGGGGTTTGGGTTTTTTTCTTCATTCCTTCTACTGTACCAAAGAGCTGCACCATTTCGTAACAGCTTGTGTGTTCAGAGGACTAATAAGAAATTAAACCATGGGAGTCTTCACTTTTTTTATCCAGCTGTTGCCATACCAGTGTGTAAGTTGGATAGGCATTTGATAAAGATCAAAAAGTCATTGATTGTGGCAGGGAATTCAGCTTTCCCACTTTGAGTCTGAACTTTATCCATTACACCTGGATAGGAGAGAATTCCAGACCACAGCATTCAAAGAGGATAACTTAAGTCTTAGGGAAGGGGTTTGCAGTAAGTTTCTCCCGACTGCAGCACACAAAGGGTAGCCTCTGAGAGTTGCACTGAGCTGAATCATGGAATCACAGACTGACTTAGGTTGGAAGAGACCTCAGGAGGTCACGTAGTGCAACCCCCTGCTCAAATCAGTCAACACTGACTGTGAACCAGGGTGCTTAGGGCTTTGTCCGGGCAGGTTTTGAATAAGCTCCAAGCATGAAGATTCCACAGCCTCTCTGTATAATATCTTCTAGAGCTTAATTATCCTATTCATGAGGTTTTCTTTGTATTTAGACAGAACGTCCTCTGTTTCAGCTGATGATCATTGTTTCTCATTGTCCTGTTGTGCACTGCTGTAATGAGCCTGGGTTCACTGTCTCCAAAACTACCTTGTAAGGTACCAGAAGGCTATCAAGCCCCACAAAGCTTTCTTCCTTAGAGTGAGCAAACCTAGTTCCCTCAGGAGGATGTGTTCTCCAGTCCCAGCTATCTTGGTGGTAGCACTCCACTGAAGGTGGTCAAGGCTATAAACGTCTGTCTTGTCCTGGGGCAACCAAGCTGAATGAACTGGAGGAGAAGACAGAATGCGCCCCTGGCTGATGTGCGCCAGGTGCCACCAGTCAAAGGGACTGATCCTTCCCTCAGACCGCTGGTTGTTGCTACAGCCCAGCACGCTGCTGACACTCATCGCAGCCAGGCCACGCTGCTGATCCATGTTTAGCCTACCATTAACAAGGTTATCGAAGCAGATCTGAACCCAGTATGAACCAATGCAGAGGTTTACTCCATCCCATATAAAGGGCTTTGCATTCGGCCTTGAATTTGGTGAGGTTCGTATCGGCCCATGCCTATAACAAGTACAGGTCCCTCTGGATAGCGGTCCTGCCTTTCGGTGTGTTGTGTCCCTTCCACCCTGCTGCGCTCCACCTTCTACTCCTCCCAGTTTGGTGTCATCCACAAACTCAGTCAGGGTATTGTCTCCTCCTCCAGATCATTGCTAAACACCCTAAAAAAAATAAGGACTGGAATGGACACTTACTTGTAACAAGCTTCGAGGTAGGGTGACCGATGAACTGCTGCCCTTTCAGCCTGATAATCCAGCCAGTTCTCATCCCTCTGGTAGCCCACCCATCTGAATTGTGATGCAGTCAGATACAAGGATGTTAAAAACCTTGCTGAAGTTGAGGTGGCAAACATCCACTGCTCTCCCCTCATACGCAGGTTTAGTCATTTCATCATAGCAGAAAGTAGTATTTTCATTATGGAAGAAAGTGGAAAATGTTGGTGTCTGTTTCATAACACAAAGGTTACTGTAGACTTTGGCTGTATTAATGGAGAATGATGATACTCTGAGTGGAAACTGCACTGGGCCCAGCCTGACACTACAGGAACTACAGCAATAAGCCTGGCTGTGTTTGGCAATCTGTAAATGTGCAGTAAGACTCTTTACCCTGGAGGGTTCACAGTCTAGTTTAAACAGACTGGAAGCAGTGACAAAGGTGAGATTTTTCTGCTGTTACATACAGATATATATATTTTATTTCAGTTAATAGCATTGGGAAGAATTCAAATTTCAGTTTATCAGAAGGATATGTGTTCACACCTGCCTCCTTTCAACTACGCCAACCTAGAACAGCCTGGGATACTGCAGGAGGAGTGTAAAATGGTGAATTTGTTACACCCAGCCCCAGTCTCCATTAGTGGGAAGATGCATTTAAAACCCATTTGAAAGGCGTGGAGTCTGTGTAAGAATTAGGAAGAGAGCAGAGATCCAACTCCTTTTTCTGCAATTCAGATTTTTACGCTTGAAGCTTTGGTCTGGTCTATACTGGCAGTACTATACAATGATTTATCAAAATAATACAAGAGTGAGGTCTCTGCTAAATCATTTGTAAGCTCCGAACTTGGCAGAAAACGTGGTCTACATGTGCTTTTTATGCTGACAAAGTTTCTAGAGCTCCACCATTTGGTTGTGTAAATGCTGCTCAGAAAGGTTGAATTCAGAAATTAAATGCTTACCGATATATTGCAGTACAGATCGTTCCAGAAAGATGAACATTAATTATTGCAGGGATTAAGAAATTATTTCTAGACAAAATTGAGATCATGTATATTTGACAGATATAACAAATTTAAAGGACTAAAATATTATTTTTGGCAAATTGCTAAGTATCATGTCCAGTGCAAAACAGCAACAATAGGATGCTTTTTAATATGGAAAATACTGTGTTGCTTCATAAGTTCATCATATACTTTCACTCCTAGAAGTACATAATTTTCTTATATATATCTGCATCCCAGATTTGATTTAAAATTAAGCTTCAAAGAAGTGTATCACCTACCTTGAAGCATAGGAATGGTTATGTAAAGCAGAGTGTTGAAAAAACAGGTTTAAATGAATGAAGTGACACAGTATAGTTACTTAAACTGTAGAAGAATAGAACACAGAATATGCCCACCTTGGAATGCTGGTGACAGAAAAATGGAATGAAGAAACACAGCTATAAATAGCAACAATTTAAAAAAATAAGAAATGTTCAGTCAACAAATGTATGCCTATACAGAGTACTAAACTGGGTTTTTATTATTACGATGTTATACTAATTTACAAATTTCTGCCTTCTACTAGTTGTTGCAGATTTGACAGGTGAGATCCAGCCCATGCATAAAGGTAATATTTGTGCTTTTATAGCAGTGACTGCTAAGCAGTCCCTCCTAGAAGGCATGTAGGGTTATTGTTATTCCAACAGTACGGCTTTGTTCTGAGCAAAGTAATGCTCCTGAGAGAAAATGCTATTCAGCTGAGTAAGTGCTTAAACGCATTCTTGCCAGTTGCAAACCATCACTTACCATCCACAGTTAGATGTGGTTGGCAGGTTAACTAGATCATTTCTAGAGCCCAAGTGTGTAGCTCTTACCTCTGATAAGAGAAATGGTTCTAGAAGGCATAAAAATTAAGTGCTTTTCCTTTTTTCCTGTAAATTGTAGTGAGTACTCCTACATCAATCCGTGAGAGAGTTTCTTCATGAAATATGTAGTGAATTCAGATGTGCTAGCACTTTTCCATTTCTGTTAGCTGTATAATGGGCTTTTAACGCTTTTCTTAAAAACATTTTACTGCTGGGAAGGCTTCAGCCATGGACGAAACAGCAGTAATTTTATTTTTCAAGGCATGAGTGCATTCTCTCTCTGTGCTGTGCAACCTTCAGTTCTGGGCACTGAAACATACAGGTCACAATCTGTATCCTTCTTACCTATTTCTTCTTGTGAGAAATGTTCTGTAGACTGAATCAAGTATTCTGACGGTGGGTGGGCTTTTCTCTATTTGAGCAAATACTGGGTCTTCCATTTTCCTTACTGAAACATGGGTTATCATAGGATCATAGAACAGTTTGG